CATTGTTCAGTCAGGCAGCTGGGTGGTGTTATCTATTCAGGTCAGGCAGCTGGGTGGTGTTATTCAGGTAGTTCATTGTTCAGGTCAGGCAGGTGGTGTTAAGCTGGGTGGTGTTATTCATTGTTCAAGCAGCTGGGTGGTGTTATTCATTGTTCAAGTCAGGCAGCTGGGTGGTGTTATTCATTGTTCATTCAGTCAGGCACTGCGGTGTTATTCATTGTTCAGGTCAGGCAGCTGGGTGGTGTTATTCATTGTTCAAGTCAGGCAGCTGGGTGGTGTTATTCATTGTTCAGGTCAGCAGGCAGCTGGGTGGTGTTATTCATTGTTCAGGTCAGGCAGCTAAGTGGTGTTATTCATTGTTCAGGTTAGGCAGCTGGGTGGTGTTATTCATTGTTCAAGTCAGGCAGCTGGGTGGTGTTATTCATTGTTCAAGTCAGGCAGCTGGGTGGTGTTATTCATTGTTCAAGTCAGGCAGCTGGGTGGTGTTATTCATTGTTCAAGTCAGGCAGCTGGGTGGTGTTATTCATTGTTCAAATCAGGCAGCTGGGTGGTGTTATTCCTTGTTCAGCTCAGGCAGCTGGGTGGTGTTATTCATTGTTCAGGTCAGGCAGCTGGGTGGTGTTATTCATTGTTCAGCTCAAGCAGCTAAGTGGTGTTATACATTTAGTCACATTGCTATCATTTAATTATTTAATTTATACATGTTATTTGTCCGTGTCATTAATAATACTGGTTGTTGTTATAATGTTGTTACTGAGTCTCGACAACAAAGATCTTTCAGCGCGTCACAAGGTTAGTAAAACACTAATCCAACACCAATAACCAATTACCTCGGTTTAATTCATATTGATGCCGGGTTGACATGGAAAATAAAACTGTATAATCAACTAAGATTTAAAGCAAGTTAAAGGAACATATCTTTTAATGGCGTCCATTGGGATATTCGCCTCGTACAAAAGTGCTTCAGTTGTCCAAAACCATAAAAAGTCGAACAAATCCAGAAGTCTTAAGTAAAAGTTCCAAGAAGTTTATCAAGCCAATCTTCGTCCACCTTCTGTAGAGGGTTGTATTTTGGGGGGCAACACCTGTACTGTATTATTATGTAGCTGAGACCAGAGGCAGGAGAACCCCGGCGAAGATCCGTCTGGCGTTGCTGAATACCCACGCTGGCGGTATTGCTTTTGTCTGTGTCTGAGGTACTGTATACAAGGCGTGCTAGGTGTAAGTGAGTGTCCGCAAAGCATTTATGGCAGACACTTCAGCTTAGGTAAGTATAATGGGATCACGCCTGGCTCAGTGCACAGAGTTGGGTACAAACTAGTTTTTATCCTTGACGGGATCCACCAACCCGAGGCCAGTCATTAGAGTAGGTTCCCAGAAATAAATTAATGGGTTGAATCTATGTCATCACCTGGTGCATCCTGGGAGTGATACGACTAATTGGGGAATCTTGAAAACTACCTCATTAAATATTAAGTACAAATATAATAACCTATGAAGATAATTTTCTCACTACAATCTTACAAGTCAGAAATCATAACCGTAAGGAAAATGTTAAGTGAAAGTTGTTAGTATATTCAACACACTAAATAATTGTTAGGTACGATTCTTATTTGTTTTTTTTATATTTCTTGTTCACCATCTTGTAAATGTCGACACCACAATTGAATAAACCAAAGGGAGTATCAATTCACTCTATCCTCTTTTTGCTGTTTTCCTCAACTCTTATAATCAGCTTTGTTGGGTCCGAGATATGTAAAAACTTACATTTAATCCCAATAAATATATATCTTTGGTTTTACTTGACAACTTAACACGTAGGCAAAGGACGATGAAGCTACTGCTGAGAAATTAAATCTTATTTATATGGTATTGTTATTCAGTGGTGGTCCACAACTGAGATATTTATTTCTTGGCGGCATTAACTTAACGTGATACACTCGGGATCAAAGGTTCGTTCTTGCCCAAACTGAAGCAGCATCGACCCCAAATGAGATGAGTCAGGGTAAGTCAGTTCAGAGACTCATTCCTTTGCCTCAGTTTCACCGCGGGAGAGAACTCTTTTTTGCTCGACTGTACACAACTGGTATGTGAGGCAGGTGACTTGAAAGAGTGTAGGGAACAGATTAGCGGACCCCTCGTAAACTTATTTACAAAATCATTAGACACGGGAGTTGTGCCAGACTTGTGGAAACAGGCAAATGTAGTACCCATATTCAAAAAGGGAGACAGAGCATCAGCGTCAAATTACCGGCCGATCAGTTTGACGTCAGTAGTGGGGAAATTTCTTGAATCAGCAGATAGCATCCGATCGCATCTAGAGAAAAGCAAATTAATCTACGACTCTCAACATGGGTTTACAAAGGGAAACTCTTGTCTAACAAATCTGCTGACATTTTTTAGGAAAGTCTTCGAGGTAGTAGATAATGACGAAAATTACGATGTTATTTGCTTAGACTTTAGCAAAGCATTTGACAGAGTACCGCATCAGAGGCTTCTGAGAAAAATTAAGGCTCATGGTATCGAGGGGAAAGTTTTATATTGGATAAAATCATGGCTCACCGATAGAACGCAGAGGTCAGCGTAGATGGTGATAAATCAGAGTGGGGTAGTGTAACCAGTGGGGTTCCCCAGGGGTCAGTACTAAGCCCACTCTTGTTCATAATCTACATAAACGATCTAGATACTGGGATCAGCAGTGACATAAGCATGTGGGGTATGAGATTGTTTGGTGTTCACACTCAGGATGGAATGGAGAAAGGAAACTCACAATGTGCTCTCTATATACATGTTGTATTGGATGTACAATGCAGCTTGGTGCTGGGAAGGCAGCATGGTTACAAGCGTGATGTAGAGAGAGCTGGTTGGTGAGGACGCTCAGAGAAGGACAGCTTGTGGGTCGCCATGCTCGCCAGCGGGAGAGGACCGCCAGGCAGGCGGAGGTGTTGCTGGCTGGTTGGTGTAGGTAGAAAGAGAGGCAGATCACCACGAGGTCAGGTCTTAAATAGCGGGGGTAGGCGTGGCTTAGCAGTTGACCCCCGCTCCGTGGTGTATGGCGGCGCTGGTTGACCTAGATCACGAGGCATACACTGGGGAATTGGTGGGGTCGGCTAGGCAGCGACAAACAGCGTTTGTAGGGGAGAATTCCACTACAAGCAAGTTTTGCGGATGACACCAAAATAGGGCGGCAGATTAATTCAGGGCAGGATAATGCATTACAGGAGGATCTAAATAAACTGCAGGGGTGGTCTGAAAAATGGCAAATGAAATTCAACACCAGCAAGTGCAGCGCACTTAAAATTGGAAGAACAAATACTGTCAATGTATACAGCTTTAACAACATCAACCTAGAAGTCGACTTGTGAAAGAGACCTGGGGTACTTGTAAGCCCGGACCTACGGCCTAGAAAACAGTTCGTTAATGTTCGAAATAAGGCAAACAGAGTATTGGGTTTTATATTTAGAAGTGTAAGTAATAAGAGTGCAAGGTCTTATTGCAACTATATCTTGCGCTAGTCAGGCCGCACCTCGATTATGCGGTTCAGTTCTGGTGCCCTTATTATAGAATGGATATCAATTCACTAGAGTCGGTGCAGCGAAGAATGACGAAAATGATTCCGGGACTTACAAACCTTCCATATCAGGATAGGTTAAAGAAACTTAACTTGCATTCCCTAGAAAGACGAGGAGTGCGGGGAGATATGATAGAAGTATTCAAGTGGGTGAAAGGAATCAATAAAGGGGATATAGATAAAGTTCTTATAATATCCGAGCAGGATAGGACTCGGAGCAACGGATTTATGTTGGATAAGTTTAGGTTTAGGAAGGAGATAGGAAGGAACTGGTTTACAAATAGGGTGGTGGACGAGTGGAACAAGCTTAGCAACTTTGTAGTAAGTGCTGGAACGCTGGAAAGTTTCAAAATTAGGCTGGATATATTCATGGATGATAGAGAGTGGTAGTAACTCTCGACAGGAGCTGCCATGCACAGGCCAACCGACCTATTGCAGACTCCTTATTTTCTTATGTAAGAGACTGAGTTAAGTAGCATTACTCTATCCTCCTCGACACTGATCGGTCTGTTAGCCACTCACTATTTATCTTCGTCGTGGGGGAGAAGTCCGTAGCATGCTTAGATGTCCCAATTATTTTTTGATGACAAGATCCAGAGTTGTGTTAAAGTCCGCCGCTTCCACCACTACAAAAACAAGACTGCCTGTGTTGTCCTCTGCGCCAAAAAGAACTTATCTCCTTGACATATGTTCTGCAGGTTGACTTGGCCAGTGTGAATCATATACATCAACTGTGTGCTGTACCTGCCATCTTCTATAATATTTGAGCTGTTTTTATTTAACACCAGGAAACTAAAACTCTTGATACATAATTTACGTTTATTAGCATAAAAACAAACACAGACAGTCTTAAAAGTTGTCTTGTGGTTCACGTGAAGAAATGCAGCAATCAGGTCCGCCTTGACCACTGTCCGCCAGCCACGAGTCAGTTGTCCCCACCTCCAGGTAAATCTCTATTGCCTTATTCAGTCTCACATGACCTAAATATGCCTTCCTCTAGATGTATTTAACCTCTAGTTTTTATCTAAACCCATTCAAGTAACAGAACCCAGCACTTACCAGTCACCACACACGATAAAAATAATCAACCAGGTCTTTAGAAAAGTTAACCCTAGGATACAGATTCATTTTCTTTAGTCATCTTTATCCTAACGTAAGCGGTAACCTCTTCATTATTGTTCTAAACTTTATCGAATCACCGCAAACAATTTTATTCGCTAATTGCATCAAGTACTTCTGGGTTAAGATTCGGAAGAGGTTTACCACAGAACTTTATATTAATGTTTATATTGGGAGACAGAGCAACAAAAAATACTGAATTATATTACGTTTCCGGCCAAAATTTATATTTTTCGAATATTTTGGCGTCTTCGATTCGACATAAGAAAGAACATATTTTGGCAGGGGACATTGTTTTCTTACCACTAACGTAACTGTTCCGCCAACCCGCGTTTCTTTCGGTGTTTCGTGATACTCCTGCGCAACACTCGGGGTCTTGAATTTCGCTTGTCCAGTTTAGTGGCAAGATGGATTACACACCTCACAGCAGTTGGCAGAATACCACGAGCCTTAAAATTTTCATTGGCAAGCGGCTTCGTTTTCAAAGACACGATGAATGGTTTGCCAAGCTGACTCTCGCTATCGTCAAGAAAAGAACCTTTGATATTTGGACTAAAACACGGAAACTCGCCAAGCCTAAGAAATCTCCTCACTGTGGCTTCTGAGTTTTAACTGCTCTGGCACTGGGTTGGACAAAGTATCTACAAGTTGCATCACATTATCCTCCAGCATCTGATAATTAAGGTTAAGTTAGGTTTGGTCAGTCTTTTTTCGCGTTTTTACCCACAATTCCCCTCTACTTCAAAGCCCTGCCCACATTATGCGATCAATATTGTTGGTAGTAGGGGGAGACAAATGTCCTTAACAGCTCGTTTACGGCGGAAATGAAGGTCAGATTCGATTAGAACAACACGAGATACACTAGAAAACCAATTCTTGTTAGTAGTTAACGTGGTAGATCTTTTTCGAATCTTTACCCCTATCAGAATACTCAGTTTAGTCTTATTGACTCAATGGCTTAGTCACCACAAGGCAGCTTTCACCCAAACCAATAAGAGCACAAGAGTAAGGGAAATACTTGGTGATACTTAATGAGAAATTATCCTACTACATCACTGGTACTGTGTGAGGACTGTACAGCGGGTGAAGCTGGCTCTATAGAGGTCCTGGGTAACTCCTCTCTGTTTTTTGCATACACGTACAGTATAGGTACTGTACGTGATTACACATGTAATTTACACACACACACACACGTACAGTCTCATTCAGATTCTTCGAACACTGCTGGAGACATAAGAACATAAGAATGGAGGAAACTGCAGCGGGCCTATTGGCCCATACTGGGCAGTCCCGTTTACACCCAACCCCTATTGCTCATATGAGCATCCAACCTATGTTTGAAGCAATTCAGCGTATTTGGTAACTTGTTCCATTCATCCACTACTCTGTTTCCAAACCAGTGTTTACCTATTTCACGCCTAAATCTAAATTTGTTTAATTTAAAACCATTGTTACGAGTTCGCTCCTGGTTGGATAGTTTGAGTACCTTTGTAATGTCCCCTTTGTTTAGCCCTGCCTTCCACTTATACACCTCTATCAGGTCGCCCTCGCTCTACGTCTCTCAAGGGAGTGCAAATTAAGATGCTTTAACCTGTCTCTAAGGTTCCTAATGCCCGGGATTAGTCTTGTCATTCTCCTCTGAATTCTTTCCAAGGATTCTATATCCATTCTGTAATACGGTGACCAGAACTGAACTGCGTAATCCAGGTGTGGTCTCACAAGAGCAAGATACAGTTTTAGGATGACCTCGCTAGTCTTGTAACTAACACTCCTTTGTATGAACCCAAGTACTTTATTAGCCTTGTTACGAGCAAAAACACATTGTTTACTTGGCTTAGGTTCCTACTTATCATTACTCCTAAATCTCTCTCGCAGTCGGATTTCTCTATGGCATCGTTGTTCATCTGGTATCTGGTTTCCCTGTTTACATCTCCTATACTGAGTACTTTACATTTGTCGACGTTGAATTTCATCTGCCATTTTTCAGACCATTCGAAAAATTTGTTTAGATCTTCCTGTAGTTTTGCCGAGTCCTCGTCAGATTTGATAACACGTCCTATTTTAGTGTCATCAGCAAATTTACTTATGTTGCTGTCAATGCCGATATCTATGTCGTTTATGTATATAATAAATAATAATGGTCCAAGTACTGAGCCTTGGGGAACTCCACTTGTGACGTTGCTCCAATGGGACTTAGTGCCGTTAATGCTCACTCTCTGTTTCCTGTCCTGTAACCACGCCCTAATCCATTTAAGGATATTACCTTTGATGCCATGAGCTTCTACCTTTCTAATTAGTCTTTCGTGGGGGACAGCTGGCAACTCAAGGCCGTTTGTTTACTATAGTACGTAGTAAAAATTATGAATAAATGTAAAAGTGATCGGTAATTGGTTACTTAGTTCCCCGTTGCTAAATTTAATGGTTGGGCTTTGTTGTTTCGTATTATATTATACTACATACTAGAGTAAACAGACGGCCTTGAGCTGCCAGCTGCCTCCAGTAGTGTTCGAAGAATCTTGAACGAGACTGTACATATATGTATATGTGTAAACAATAACAGAGTGGCGTTTGATGACATAACCGACGAGGATAATGACATATTGATAACGTTAATCCCTTCGTTTATTTGATGTTGTTATCTCACGTTCACTCACAGGGATCAACTGCCAACACTATTAAGTATCGGTTTCAAGTCTACGTGTCTACAACAGAGTCACCTTTAAGTCTTAACTGATGGCAAGACTTGTGAGCCAATCTTGTAGCTCGCAGAGGGTGAGGAAGTTCCCGTTTTGTTGTTTCCTCTTTACCTCGCTACGTTGACATTCTAAACACCACCTCACACCACTTGGCACCCTCTCACACAGTTTTACAATGACCTTAACTCTAAAATTCTGTCAAACTACTAATATGAAACTTATCGACACCGTCAGTGGCGAAAGTCATTGTGCCTCTATATTTTCTGGGTACACACTGCGCCACACCCACTACAGCACCTCCGTCACCGTAATTAAGGAGTGTGTGCTTGTGAGAGGCGATGCAGCAGCAGGTGTTAGTTAGGTAGGTCACGGCATCACACTTAGGTAGATCTGCCTCAGGGTTATGTAGTCAGCCATACTTTATCTTCTTGGCTGGACAACATAACACAGCACCAATATACTGTTCAGAATAACGTTATTAGTTATATCAGTCCCCAGCCAAAGTGACCAGACATCTGGCGGACCACATGACTCATTAACTCATATATTGTCTACCGCTGTTATTATACATCTGAGACTAACAAACTAACCAAAATTTAAAAAAAATCGTATTTTCCTTTCAACACCGTAAGACTGAAGCTTGTGAGTGGACAGAGCTTGTGAGTGGGCAGAGCTTGTGAGTGGGCAGAGCTTGTGAGTGGGCAGAGCTTGTGAGTAGACAGTTCATTACCTGTAACTGGCGCCAACTTAAATGACAATAACTGTCTTTCTCAGAGAACTTGTATCAACATTCTCAGTCAATCACAGTCACACATTAAGCCTGAGATGATACTACACATTATCTCACTTATCTGTTCATATTGTTGCTCGTTCTGCGACGCTTGAAATATATAACGTATATTAATGCTGCTGTAAACACAAATGTTTGACTCGTGAATTTCGAAAAGTTGAAAGTACAAACTATTTATCTTTAAATTATCGACATATTAGAATTAAAACTGTTTCATTCCTTTTTCCTTTAGTAGTCCCGTAATAGAATTAGAACTTCCCTCTCCTTCATTGAGTATCTATCATACTCACGCTGGAACTTTACCCTGTAACGTTAGGTACCTCTCGCCCCTTGTTCTGGCCCACGGCAGGTTGTGAGGCGCGTCTACTTGCTGTCAGATGTTCGGGTTGCTACATCGGGGATGAGGACAGACCGCTACCCTGAAGACTGGGGCTTCATAGGCCAGTGGACGCGGGCGGACACAAATCAAACTTGGTAAAATGCAAAATACACGTGTATGCTGGTATGAAGTGTACTGATTGGTTAATGCCATCTGTGACGTCCACACGTCTTCCTTCCATTGGTTTAGATTATTTAAATGTAGTTTGGATTAGTTGAAGGTCAATTTACCCAAGTTAGGGCAATTTTAGGTGGTGTTTACAAGAATTGGATGTGGGACATGGGTGGCGGGAGAGGCCCTAGTGCACTTCATCACAGTTGGCAAGGATCAATAACAACACGTCAGGCCCGAATACGCGTGGATTTGTGCCAGATAGGTAGCGGTGTGTAGAACTTCCTACTTCTTCCTGTAGGTCTTAGAGAGGAGGGCTATGAAGGCGAGGGCTCTGTAAGAAAGAATGAGGATGACGAGATAAAGGACATTGTAGATGATGCTGCCATTTTCGTAGTGGAGGAAGGAAAGAACAGCCTCGCCGTTAGGAAAGCACGTCTGGTTTTTGTTGCAGGAGATGGTCTCTACACCCTTCCATTGGTTCACCAGCAGCGCCTCGTTCCCGTAGCTGAACCACGAGAGGTATTTGAGCCACGTTAGGTACACCGGCGTCGACCTGATAACAAAGTGTAACATGTATAAGAAAAGTAAATCGCGAATAGCTGTTTGATCTTCAGTCTCAGAGGTCTGAATATATGACGTAGCCGAGTGACTTGGAACATTTCTATGCACTAAATAATTACAACCAAAGGAAACCAAAGACATTATATACAAATATTAATTAATGACCACAATATTAAGGAAATTTTCATCTTATATTTAGAGCAAACAAAAATACATTATTACAGTGCCGTATGTTCATGTCTTCTGGCTAATGGTTAGAGTATTTGGAGTACAAGATGCATTGAGCTGAGCAATCAACAGGTCCCTCTTGACCGGTTCAGAACAAGCACACGTCAACACTTACAATGTTTACTATTTGAGAGCCGTTTTAAAAACCCGCCCCAGGAAGCATGAGGAGTTCTTTGGAGGCCCTAGAACATCACTGGAGGTGAAGACAGTCCAAAGGGCCACTAAAGGACACAAAAAATCCTTACAAATTCTCCAGGAGGCAAGAAAATGTACTGGATGATAACTAGAGAACAGAAGAATATCATATAAGGTTCCACGAAGGCGGGGAAAAGTTCTCGGGAGGAAGGACGCAGTAGGATAGGGTGTACATACAAGGAAAAGCTTAGAAAGTCCTCAGACGCAGAATGAATTTTTTATGATTCTTGAATAAATAACAATCACCCTGTAAAAGAGCCTAACGCGGCCCCCAGGTACAAGAGTCTCTGTCAGGTCTTCAGGAGACAACGGATGATTCTAAGAGGTATCCAGGAGGTAAGAGGAACCACCAGAAGGCCCTGAGGTGGCAAGAGGGACAAATGAGGATTTTAAGGTACAAAGGAAGGTAGTTGGTCCCAAAGAGGCAAGGAAGAGGCCCGGGGAGAGATAAAGAAGGAGGAGGACGACCTGGGAGGTTCCTAGAAGGCAAGGAAAGGCAATGGGACGTCATCAGGGTATAGGAAGAGGCCATAGGACGTCCTTAGGAAGTAGGAAGAGGCCATAGGACGTCCTTAGGAAGTAGGAAGAAGCCGTAGGACGTCCTCAGGAAGTAGGAAGAGGCCGTAGGACGTCCTTAGGAAGTAGGAAGAGGCCATAGGACGTCCTTAGGAAGTAGGAAGAAGCCGTAGGACGTCGTTAGGAAGTAGGAAGAGGCCGTAGGACGTCCTTAGGAAGTAGGAAGAGGCCATAGGACGTCCTCAGGAAGTAGGAAGAGGCCATAGGACGTCCTTAGGAAGTAGGAAGAGGCCGTAGGACGTCCTCAGGAAGTAGGAAGAGGCCGTAGGACGTCCCAGGGAAGTAGGAAGAGGCCATAGGACGTCCCTAGGAAGTAGGAAGAGGCCATAGGACGTCCTTAGAAGTAGAAGAGGCCGTAGGACGTCCTCAGAGGCTGTAGGACGTCGTAGAAGTAGGAAGAGGCCGTAGGAGGTACCCAGGACAAATGACGACGAGAGGAACTCACCCGCTATTGAGGAAGAAGCCTCCGAAGAGCATGAGAGGAATGATGAAGGGCGCTGAGATAGCCAGCGCCACACTCAGATTCTTCGCCATACAAGATATCATGTAGCCTGTGGGAGTAATACCTTGTTACACTGTGTTGAGAGAGAGAGCACCTCACCACCCAGCACCTCACCACCTCACCACTCACCACCCACCACCTCACCACCACCACCACCCAGCACCCCACCACCCACCCCACCACCACCCAGCACCTCACCACCCACCACCACCACACCCAGCACTCACCACCCAGCACCTCACCACCCACCCACCACCACCCAGCACCTCACCCCCCACCACCACCCACCCCACCATCCACCACCACCCAGCACCTCACCACCCACCACCTCACCACTCACCACCCACCACCACACCTCACCACCCAGCACTCTCACCACCCACCTCACCACCACCCACCATCCACCACCCACCACCCACCACCTCACAACCTCACCACCTCACCACTCACCACCTCACCATCCACCACCTTACCGAAAGATATGGCACAGTTGGCAACAAGGACAACGATTCCGGCACAGATGAAGAAGTTGACATAGTCGTTAGTAAAGCCGACCATGTGGTAAGCTATGGCAACGAAGGCGAAGGGATAGGTGATGTGGAATGGTAACTCAGCCAACATCTTGGACAGGAAATAGACATCAGTACGATACATCCCATTGAAGTGTTCACGCAGGAAGACTGGCAACTGAGCACAAAAGGTCTGGGGAGAAATTCAGAAAAGGTAAATAGTATCTGTGGTTTGAAGATAGTTTATTACAAGTATTCCTACAGGTGTGTTGGTGATGTCTAGAGATCGTCTTTAGGTGGTCAAATACAGTCAGGAATACTTGGAAGGTCAGAGGAGGGTCATTGTTACTCATGGGTGTGAGAAAAGGGTAAAAAAATAGTGCTGTAATGCTTTAAGGAAGGTCTTGTAAGGTTCTTAAGTATGGTCCAGCGGTAAGGAGAAGGTGAGGCAGGTCTAGGAAGGCTTGGAGGTAACGGGGGAACAGAGAACATTTTGTAAACACTTATACCGAAACATCACGTATTTATGCTTCTTTAATCTACTCTATATTTCCACTGTTCTCTCGAGGAAACTAAGTTACTGTGTACTTCTAACCAGACTAACAGACTGACTGACTGACACACTTGAGTTATTATTAGTATGTGTTATCAAAGACGCCTTGAGGGGCATAAAATACTGGATGACATTAACACCTCGTCCACACTCACACTCCACCCACCCTGAAGACGTCAGCCAGTCATGTTGGTGAGGAGGAGGAAGAGGCGCTATTATCGTTGGTGATGCCTCTGGGTCAGGGGCTGTTGACCCCAGTAGATCATCCTGGATCAACAGGGCACCGCCTGAAACACAAGGAGGGTCATTGAAGACAGCAGAGGTCACAAGCCATTACTGCCTTGGCCCCTGAACGCCAGACAGACCAAAGGCACAAATAGAGAGACGTCAACCATCATCAGGAAACAGTGTCACAAATCTATAAACAGTGACAAGGCGTGTAAACCAGGACTCAGTGAAACCCCGTGAGAGACAAAGGGGAGCAATGGGCCCAAGAGCAGTCACATAACCTCCGTAGACATATCTGGGAAACAGAAGAGAGAGAGAGAGAGAGAGAAAGAGAGATAGTAAATCTTAGTATCTCACCCAGGAGCACACTACTGCTTTGGTCTGGAACACAGTTGAGGTGCCCAGATGATAAATGTCCTGACAACTTAAAAAACAGAGTCAAGGTCTGAACTACAATCACGACGCGTTGTACAATACTTGTTGCTGGAAGGAGATTCATGAACACTTACCAAGACCTGAAATAAGACTCATAATGCCCTAAAACACTTACCATGGCCTGAAAGAAGACTCCATCATGCTCCCCAAAAACAGCTACCATGACCTGAAAGAAGACTCATAATGCCCTAAAACACTTACCATGGCCTGAAAGAAGACTCATCATGCTCTAAAACAGTTACCATGACCTGAAAGAAGACTCATAATGCCCTAAAACACTTACCATGATCTGAAGGAAGACTCATCGTGACCTGAAACACTTACCACGATCTGAAGGAAGACTCATCATGCCCTAAAACACTTACCATGATCTGAAGGAAGACTCATCGTGACCTGAAACACTTACCATGATCTGAAGGAAGACTCATCATGCCCTAAAACACTTACCATGACCTGAAGAAAGCGGACCTTGATGAGCATTGGTTCCCTGATGACCTCAAGCCAGGAGCGCCACAGGACATTACGGAACTGTGTCCACCACGAGGCCTTGTACGGCGACTTCCTCACCTCCACGTCGCCCAGACTGTCGTAAACATCTTGCTAGGGTGGTGACAACACAAAGGTTAACTCACACTGATGGATTGTAGTTGTGTTTTATTAATCTTCAAATAAACTACAGATTAATAAAGTTGTGTTGTTCTACCTCTTGTTGGTGTTAACATATGAGCGTCACCAGTAACTGAACATGTCAAGCATTTGTTTGTTTACACGGTCAGTTATTTTATACTATTAAATTAATATTATTTTACTGAACCCCAGACAGACATACGAACCATCGTCTCAGTATTCTGTATAAAATTTTTCTTCTGCCAATTTCACCGAATTGAGTACAAGACGTAAATTATTTCTCATACCTTACAATAGCAAGAGGAAGTTAGTCATTGTTTATGTCAACTGTTGATTGTATGTAAGTCATTATAGGACTTCTTCTTCAGCCTCGAGTAATTGATAGAGAATTTTACTGCCTATAGTTTCTTTATTATATGCAGATAAGAAAAAGCTTTTTTGACAATTATGGCGAGACTTTACAAAATCATGGACTAATTTTCATCACTTCAGAAAAAAACAGCACATTATAATTAAGTACATTGTATTACTCAGTAAGGTAATGAATCTCTCCATCTAGTCGAGACTTCACTGTTGCCACGTAACTTTCCGGTACCGACTCACTTCCATCTCTTTCGAGTTCTCCTTGACAGCTCGGTCGATGTTCACTCCCTCTTCTGAATTCTCAAACTCGTCACAAATCATGGTGATGGCCTTCTTGCAGCTCTCCTCCTTACCCGGCTGCACCGCCAACGTCGAGATGAAGAAGTCGGCTGGGTTGTAGTTGGGAGGGCAGGGAAGACCGATCCTGAGAGGAAAGGACTGTGTCAACATTATACACGACACTTCCTTTGTTGACCTCTAAACACACACTGACCTGACGTTTGAGACTACAAAGGTTTCCTAGGTTTCACTCAGATATTGATTTATCACAAATACCCTCACAACTCTGCATGGCAAGTGAACTGAAATTTTTCCTTTTTGCGGTAAAAACTCTTTTTTTTAATGAGCGACTCATAAAAATAAGAAACTCTGGGGAGGTGATCACGTGAGTTTAGGGTTTTATGACACACCAGTTTATTTCACCTGATAATGAAACCACACCAATACTCTCAGGAATCAAGTTAGTTTAGCTTAGGTTATATTAGATTAGTTTAGATGGCACTAAGGTGTTTAATCAAGAGATGTGAGGCAGGTAACACACACTCGTCTTTACCTGTTGAAGAACTGGTAGGCAGCATCTACCTCACCCAGGAAGGCCATTCGTCCTTCGGCCATTAACAGGACGCGATCGAACATAGCATAAACCTCTGAACTAGGCTGGTGGATAGTGGAGATAATGGTCTTACCCCTCTCGGCCATATTCTTCATCACGGCCACCACGTTTTGGGCCATGAAGGAGTCCAGGCCGGAGGTAGGCTCGTCGCAGAACATAAGAGGTGGGTTGGTCAGCACCTGTAGTACACCAGACGAAGTGCTTGTATAATTGTTTTCATATACCAACATGATTCAATAAAGTAAAATACATCACTAAAGGAGGTTAATAAAACACACACACACCCACACACACACACACACACTCACACTCTCTCACTCTCTCTCACTCTCTCTCTCTCTCTCTCAAGACTCACCTCACAAGCAAAAGCCAGCCTCTTCATCTCACCGCCAGAGATCCCCTTGATCCGGCCTGGCACCCCAATCTTGGTGTCACTGCACTTGGCCAACCCCAGCTGAGAGAGGAGACGTCAACACATATTATGAGCTAGTCCAAGGGGGTGTACTATGAGCGAGTACTATAACTGTGGTCTTTAAATGAGTACTATGACTATGGTCTTTAAATGAGTACTATAAATGCGGTCTTAATGTAGCCAACTTAATATATTTACTAAATATAATTGGAGAAAAATAATTAAATGATAAAAAGTAACATAATATGAAACAGAATAATTAGTGTAAATACAACTAATTCCTATTAAGCAGTTATTAGACGTGTAACGATAATTTGATAATTATCTCTACTTAAATGGTAATTAACTAAAGGTAATTATATGAAAGCCGAATTTTATATAAGGTAAAATTGAATACAAATATTATGGGTAATATTTTTTCCCTTTAATAATTTATTTGGGAATATTTTTACTGCATCTAATCATAACGAAATTAATTGATGGTATATTGGTAATTAATTAGGATTTATTCCCTCAGTTGATATTTGATGACCTGTACTGACCTATTGTGACCTGTACTGACATTTGATGACCTATACTGACCTATTGTGACCTGTACTGACATTTGATGACCTGTACTTACCTATTGTGACCTGTACTGACATTTGATGACCTGCACTGACCTATTGTGACCTGTACTGACATTTGATGACCTGTACTGACCTATTGTGACCTGTATTGACATTTGATGACCTGTACTGACCTATTGTGACCTGTACTGACAATTGTTGACCTGTACTAACCTCTTGTGACCTGTACAGGCCTCTTGGCATCTGTACTGGCCTCTTGTGACCTGCACTGACCTATACTGATTCCACTGTTCATCTGTACTGACCTCTACTGACCTGACCTCCACTGACCTATACTAACCTCTCTAGATCTATAATAACCTCTAATGAACTATACTGACCACTGAAGACCTGTAATGACCTCTGATGAACATTACTGACCTCGCTAATGACTTCGTCGACTCGGGTCATCCTCTGGTCATAGGAGAGATGACGGTCCATCCTCAACATAGCCTGGTGAGAGCAAGGGAGAGCTGAGGTCAAGGAAGGTCAATTAAACACAAACTCCGTCCTCACTTAACGTATTGTAAGATAACTCATCAAACATTACCTGGTCAATATCATACCTGTGTGTTTATTTCTCCAGAGGTATTTATAAATAAACAAAATGTATGTATGTATGTATGTATGTATGTATGTATGTATGTATGTAATTGAAAGGGATGAAGTGACGTATTTTTATATTTTCAATTTACTGACTCCTCTGAAAGCCCTGCCCCACTAGGCTACCATGGGAGAGATGGGACATGGTAGTTGCTTTTACTTTCTCCAGTCAAACCAACTCAAAATTAGGGTCTTTAGTTCGGTCTGTCTCCACACTAAGAGATTAAAGAAAGACCGAGTTAAGTAGAGAGAGAGAAAGGATTAACCTACCCATTACACCTACCTGGAACAGAATCTCTTCTCTGGTGATGATGATGATGAGACAGAGAGAAGCAGACAGAGAGAGAGACAGATATAAGGGGACAGACGCCCACCTGAAATATAAGTTGCTCCCTGACGGTGAGCATCCCGATGAAGAGGTCGTCTTGCTGCACGTAGGCGGAGCGGCTGGTGAGGGCGTCCGGAACAACACGACGACCATTCACATAGAGGTCGCCAGTGACTCGGAGTTTGTCGTTGTTACGGTGAGTGAGGACGTTGAGGAGTGTCGTCTTGCCTGCCCCTGACGCCCCCATAATGGCCAGCAGCTCCCCAGGGCGACAGATTCCCTTCACTGTCACAACAACAAAATTACTGTTTATAAAGATTCCTGAATTTCTGACCTTTGACCTCTGACCTACTTTTTGCCCTCGATGCCCAACAGCTGCCCTTGATAATCTAACCCCGCTACTGTGGTACCAATAATTACAAACTCGTGTGTGTGTCGGACACTAGCGTTTGACCTTGACCTCTGGCCGTAAAATCCAGGTTTGACCGTAAGAAACCTAATCTTTAAGTTTGAAAGTAAAAACTTCAACTGTGCTTCAGAAAGTGACGATAACACGAGGAATACACTGTATAAATATATTTCTTACTGCCTATTAATGCTGATACGTTAAATCAACCTACAAGAACAACGCAGAATTGGAAAACCTCAGCCAAGTTGTTAGTCTCGTCCTATTCTAGACAACCTTGATGTTCTGTCTTCAGTTATCGACCTGTTGACCATCTTTGCCTTTCCAGTAAGGATGTCATGTGAAGACCAATACTTGTCATGGCTGGGAGGTTGTATAACGAGGCTTCTACACCAGGCTCGCGTGAGGTTGGTGGACTGGTGGATTTTATATTGACGTAAAACCAAGAATGAATAAGTGAAGGTTTGATTTTTTAACACACACACACACACTAACCATCTTTAAGGATGTGCTTCTCCCTCGAATGCTGTTTCTTCCTCCTAAAGATACCAGTACCAGCAGACGCGCCAGGGTTAGAGTACACGTTGACACTGTCCCAGGAGTAAGTGATCTGGTCGTGGCCACCCACCAACACGGACGAGTCGCTGCTGCTCTGTAAACACCAAAGATACACCCATTAGTGACCACTCGGCGTCCTTAACATAGTCAACAAATTATTAGTATTTTAGGGAAACAGATTTTTTTACAGGATTTCAAAATCATTACTGAATGATGCTTCATACACATTTCTTTTTAAGTAATGAAAGAAATTCTATAAAGGGCTCATAGTCTGGGCCCAAATGACTTTACTACGAAACCTAGATAATAAAGAAACCTTTTAGTGAGTAGACAAACACACAAACAGTATTATTCATAAATGATATTTTGTATAAAGTTCTTAAATGTCTTTGGAATTATGGAGAAAATTCTTCTAGTCATATTATCACTCGGTACTCAGTACATGTCTGCCGCAGCACTGTTCAACAATACCCATGTTTCTCAGGATTTTTAGTCATGGGAACAGAAACACAAATTCCATACTACTGTTTGTGTTTCATTGATATGGAGAGCAGTCAGTGCACAAACACTTCTCTGGAATGTTTCAGGTAGACAAGCAAGCAACTCTAGTCTCCTGATGGTATACAACTACTGGGAGTCTTACCTTTCACATTCTACGATGATAAATGCATTCTGGGGCATAAAATTATTATACATTAACAAAACCTTTTTTTTTTTAACAAACTATTATCATCATTTTCATTACTATTAATGGTACTCATACTAATATTTAATTATTATCGTAATTATCTATACATTTTGTTCATTGTTATTTTTGCTTTGACAACGAGAATAAATAACTGATGAACTATACTGGATGGTGACGACACGTGTATCCAGGCCGGCTCTCTTTGCAGCAATATTAAGCAGAATATTTCCTATTGTGGTAGTTTATCTGGCCTCTTGGTTAGGTTAGGATACAAGTAGATGTTATAATGTTCTTCACCTAATCGTGAGTTTCCCTTCACACACACATATTATCACGTAACTGAAGGTAGAATCATAATAATCCATTATACCACACCACTACTGTTGATCCCTGAAGCGGTCTCATGGTCACGTACTTTGTGGTATGTAACGTGTTCAACCACTACCACCACAACCACAACTACCACCACGACTACTACCACAACCACCACTACCACCACCACCACCACTACTACTACTACTACCACCACCGCCACCACTACTACCACCACCGCCACCACTACTACTGCTACTACAACAACCACCATTACTACCACAACCACCATTACTACCACAACCACCATTACTACTACCACCACCACCACCACCACTACCACCACAACCACCACTACTACCACTACTACCACCACCACCACCACCACCACCACCACTACCACTACTACTATCACCACTAATACCACCACTACTAACACCAATAACACAAACACAACCACCATCATTACAACCACCATCATTACAACTACCATCATTACAACTACCACCATCACAATCATCATTCGCGAAATTCTCTATTTCAAAAGCTACACACATTCATAACAACAACAACTACTGCTACCGCCACAACTACCACAATCACCAACAACTAAAATAACAACCATTACCACTACATCAACCACCACAACAACCATCACAAAAACTACCACTACTCGTTACAGCGTTAGTAGAACTTTAGAACTAGGACAGTGTGTGGTAGTGTGTGGTGGTGTGTGGTGATGTGTGTGCTTGTTCATGAAGCTCCTAAAACAGATCTTTATCACGCACTGTTCTGGGCCACGTCTAGATCACTTTATCATCCTCTGTAGCCGGGCAGATTATAGCATTGTAAGAGGATAGTCAACTTAGATCTCGACCCACCTAACCTAACCTGACCTGACCTGACCTGACCCACCTCAGTGTAAAGATACCAGTTAATTTACTGCTATTTTGAAGATGGTGTCTGGATATTTTTTTTTAGGTTATATAATATACTTTGTGTGTAATTGATATTGTTCATTGTACAGTAATTACACTAATATAGTTCCACTTTTTAAACTGTTTGACGTGATATCGTTCTTGTCATGATGGAATTACTATCAGGAAAACGTGTCAGAGAGATGCTGAACATGATACTCGTAATATTGCGATTGCTGCAAAAATTCTCCGGAGGCAAACATTTGAAGGAAACCGCATCTTCAGTGACTTAATTAAACAAAGCTGCCGGGAGGAGACTGTACCAAGGTTGCTACTCATATGGGATAAATACTTATAATGTATACAGCCTTAACAACATCAACCTAAAGAAGTCGACTTGTGAAAGAGACCTAGGGGTACTTATAAGCCCGGACCTACGGCCTAGAAAACAGTGCGTTAATGTTCGAAATAAGGCAAACAGAGTATTGGGTTTTATATCTAGAAGTGTAAGTAACAAGAGTGCAGAGGTCTTATTGCAACTATATCTTGCGCTAGTCAGGCCGCACCTCGATTATGCGGTTCAGTTCTGGTGCCCTTATTATAGAATGGATATCAATTCACGAGAGTCGGTGCAGCGAAGAATGACAAAAATGATTCCGGAACTTAGAAACCTTCCATATCAGGATAGGTTAAAGAAACTTAACTTGCATTCCCTAGAAAGACGAGGAGTGCGGGGAGATATGATAGAAGTATTCAAGTGGGTGAAAGGAATCAATAAAGGGGATATAGATAAAGTTCTTATAATATCCGAGCAGGATAGGACTCGTAGCACCGGATTCAAGTTGGATAAGTTTAGGTTTAGGAGGGAGATAGGAAGAAACTGGTTCACAAATAGGGTGGTGGACGAGTGGAACAAGCTTAGCAACTTTGTAGTAAGTGCTGGATCGTGGAAAGTTTCAAAAGGAGGCTAGATAGATTCATGGATGATAGAGAGTGGTAGTAACTCTCGACAGGAGCTGCCATGCACAGGTCAACTGGCCTATTGCAGACTCCTTATTTTCTTATGTTCTTATGTGTGTTTTGTTGTTTTATATTGAAGTATCACATCAATGGAATTCATCTTGTTGTTAGAAAATAAGTACACACACATATACACACGATCAACATTCACACACACACACATACACACACACACACACACACACACACACACACACACACACACGAGCACTACTCACCAGCTTCTTGGATAAAAATAGTCCCAGGATCTGCATAACTGTTAACGGAAGTTCACCCAACTACAAAACCAAAACTACCCTGGTCACTCTCCTGGTGCTGTGACAGTGTGGTGGCTGCCGTGAAGTGTCCTGTACTATACACTTCTCCCGGTCTGTCTCGGGGTAATGTTCCTCGGGAGGCAGGCAGCGGCAACGTCACGCCAGGGAAGTGAGCACCACACTGTGCTAGTCGGGACAAATTACCTCCTCCATCACTACCACCACCACTACCATTATTCAAGCTACCCTCCCATTTCTGTATTTTTATTCCATCTCCCATTTCTCTTTCCTCCCTCTTGTCCACCTCCATCTCCTCCCTCTCCTCTCCCTCTTCTTACCCTTCACTCTGTACTGCTCTACCCTCACCTGCTTAAACTAAAGGTAGAGAGAGAGGGAGAGAGAGAGAGAGAGAGTAGATGGTTTAGTAGTAGGAGTGTTGTGTTATTTCCTAGTATGACGTATATAAGGGAGTGAAATGGAGACGCTGCTTGTGGAGGTGGAGGAGGAGGGTGGAGGGAGGCAGAAGGTGGAGGAGGTGGGAGAAGGTGGAAGAGGAGGGCAGAAGGTGGAGGAGGAGGGAGAGGTGGAGGAGGTGGAGGTGGAGAGGAGGGCAGAAGGTGCAGGTGGGAGAGTGGAGGTGTGGAGGAGGGAGACAGTGGAGGAGGAGGTGGAGAAGAAGAGGAGGGCAGAAGGTGGAGGTAGGAGTGGGAGACGGTGGGAGGAGGAGGTGGGAGAAGGTGGAGGAGGAGGGGAATGAAGGTGGAGGTAGGAGTGGAAAACAGGTGGAGGAGGAGTGGGAGAAGGTGGAGGTAGGAGTGGGAGACGGTGGAGGTAGGAGTGGGAGACGGTGGAGGAGGAGTGGGAGAAGGTGGAGGAGGAGGGTGGCTGCCCCAGGCCCAGGTCACGAGGGGATAACAGCGCCTCTTTTGTATTGTCAGTGAGCTGCTGTGATGCCAGTACGTCACGCCCCACTCTCCTCCTCCTCCTCCTCCTCCTGCTGACCGCCTGGGGGTACCTGGTCAATAGTTATACCACGGTACACAACCTTGGCACCCAGGTAATATGCGTGTTTAAAGTTAAAAGTCTCTAACTGCTGCCGTTTAGGAGCTATGGCTGGAACAGACAGAAGCTTAAGATCATAGGTTCTGTCTTAGTTGTTCCTGTAAGTTAAGTGTGAATAATCATAGAGGTGTGTGTGTGTGTGTGTGTGTGTGTGTGTGTGTGTGTGTGTGTGTGTGTGTGTGTGTGTGTGTGTGTGTGTGTGTGTGTGTGTGTGAGAGATAGACGGCAGATAATGTCAACTATATTTTTCCTTTTCTTTTTCCAGGTAAGTGTGAGTTAAAACAGCTCTTCGTGGGACATTAACACACTATATCTCAGGTACGGCCAAGTTATCATATTCATTGGTTATCGTTTTATTCATCAGCTTAGTCATTCTCGTTCCACAACAGTTTTAAAGGAACGTTACTCTTTTCCCCGCCATCCTTGAGGACGTCGGTGTCCCTCCCTTATCAATGAGTCAACGTGATGCCCCCACTCGTTCACGTGGACGTCGGGTCCACTCCTTATCCTTATCCTTTGTGGTCGCCTGTGGTCCCGTCGCTGGGAATATGAAAGTCTCCTTTTCCACTTTTTTTTTTTGGGGGGTAGAAAGGGGTGAAGAAGATTAGAGGTGGGGGAAGGAAGTTATAGTTCGGAAATTGAAGAAATTTAGGAGGAGGTAAGAGAGGGCGGGCTGACCACCTAGCTAAGCTAATAGTGTGTTAGGGTTGTGTCATGGGTTAGTTATTGTCTGTCGGTACAGGCACTAGACAGCCTACCCTGTCCCATTTATGGGTGTTTTAAGGGCCTTATTTCATATTCCGCCGACCCTACTGGCGGATGCTGGTCTAGGGAGGTTGTCTATTGCCTGGCCGTGTAGATCAGGGGTGGTAATGGACCTTTTGAGATTACGTAGCTTTTTGGGAACCATGTATAGTTGTTGTCGTTATCTGGTGGGAGTCTTTGAAGGAGTTCTTGCTCTGATCGTTCTATCTTTTGCCAGACTCTGCTGGCCAGGGTGTGCAGCTGCTGGTTGATGGGTTTCATTCTCAGGTTTCTATGTATCTCGGCTGTGGTTCTGGTGAAGGGGTAACTTTTACCTGTGGCGAATCTTAGGGCTTCATTTTGGACCACCTGTAATTTTAATATTTGAGTGGTGCTCATAGTATGAAGAGGTACTGCTGGGTAAGTTAATATCGGTGTGATAAATGATGTCACCAGGCGGAGTTTTATTTTCTCCTGTCTGGTATGCGGAGCTGATTCCACCTCCCAGGTGGGGGGTAGAGTGGGTGGAGGTTGCGCTGCTGCCCCCTGGCCCTGTGTCGGCACACTTGCTTCCACTATCCTCCCCCTAAATCTAATCCATGTACACCCGTCCCGTTCCTCCTCAACTCTTCCCTTCTCTGCTTCAAGTCTTGCAGGAGCTTCTTGCGCTGTTCCCTCTGCATTACCGTGCGATCTGGGTGAATGAATACATTCCGAAATGCCTCGCTCCTTGCTTTTACATTACTCACTCGAATGTTCATATAAGGAGCTGGCGGACGCACGCCCCATAAGGGCTCACAGCTCAAGGTTGAAGAAAAGGTAGGTAATTCTGGTCGGTAATTCTGGAGCCAATATTGGTACCCAAGTTACCCCTCCAAATCTTTTAATTCGTTTTCTCTTTTTAGGTATAACTTCGTTTTCGTTAATTTTTTTATCTTAGTCAGACCTGTGTAAATTGTGTGGTAGCAGGGCCGGCGCTACCCACTAGGCGAACTAGGCGATCGCCTAGGGCGCCAACATCTGGGGGCGCCACAAATTCAGGGCAAACTTGGATAAAATTAAAAATGAAGGGAAAACTGTGGTGGACACTGTGGTGGAGCCGTGGAGGGTCGGAGCAGGATGTTAGAAGGGTGGGGGGTCGGAGGGAGGCGAGGGTAGGTAGACGGTAGCCGACTGTGTTTTCTTTTTTAATATTATTCGTTAACCCCCCGGAGGGACTAACCCGGGTCCTTATCTTTGGCGGCCTGGAGAACTGTCGAGCAGTGACCTGAAGGCTGACATCTGAGGAACCCTTCTCCCAACCCCACCATCCCCTCCCCTCCCTTACTGCCAGGGCGGCTGAGCCGCCCCTTCCCTGTCTTTGTCGGGATGAGGCAAGGTTACCTGACCTCTGAAGTTTACGTCAAGAATTTATTGACTTTATGTAATAACAATAATTGGTTATTTGCATGGGTGAAGTAATAAAGCCACAAGATGAAAACAATGTAGTAATGGGTTACTGTACCTACATTAGCTTATCAAAACTTTCAAGGGGGCGCACATCTAAAGGCTTGCCTAGGGCGCCAAATCATCTTGCACCGGCCCTGTGTGGTAGTGAACTTTTACTTTTTACCTCTTCACCACTGATCGGCTCGTTAGCCGCTTGGGCTAACGAGCCGATCAGTGGTGAAGAGGATAAAAGATAGTATTGGAGACGTCACAAATTTAAGCTGTTTAAGATGAACTCACAAACCAAGCTGAGGCAAAACAATTCCACTTCTAATTATCTGAGGTATGAAACAGCTTATCTGAGGTGAGGTTGTAGTGGATTTCTCCCCTACAAATGCTGTTTGTCGCTGCGTAGCCGACCCCACGAATTCCCCAGTGTATGCCTCGTGGTCTAGGTCAACCATCGCCGCCCACGGAGCGGGGGTCAACTACTAAGCCACGCCTACCCCCCGCTATTTAAGACCTGACCTCGTGGTGATCGCTCTCTTTCTACCTACACCAACCAGCCAGCAACACCTCCTCCTCCGCCGCTGCCTGGCGGTCCTCGCTCCCGCCGGCGAGCATGGCGACCCACAAGCTGGTCCTCCTCTGAGCATCCTCACCAACCAGCTCTCTCTACATCACGCTTGTAACCACGCTGCCACTTCCCAGCACCAAGCTGCATTGTACATCCAATACAACATGTATACAGAGAGCACATTGTGAGTTTCCTTTCTCCATCCATCCTGAGTGTGAACCAAACATCCCGTACCCCACAAGGTCATAACATACGTGCACACCTTTAGGCGTCTGGACAACCACTGAGCAGATCAACATGTCAAGTACGATTACAACGAACTAAATAATGTTACAAATCCACAATTCTGTTCGTTATAGTTCGGTATAGAGCCTCCGTCCAAAACACACTCGACGTATGTGAAGGAATGTTGTGTATATAATGTGTCACTTCTGTAGCACATTATTTACGTGTCATCAGAAATGGTTTAGCCTGAACACCTATTACAGAATGATTGTTGATTACGTCACTGACTACCCGTTGAAGCTATATGGTCAGATTCAATTATCATCATCATCATTTCAGTAGTAATGTTAGTACGTATTGTACAATTAAGTATCATTCGAATCAGTTTCATAAAAAGGAATATCACTGAAACAATTCTCGAGACACAGTTCCTAACAGTTAGACAAAGTGTATCTGTACAGACATTTTATACAAATATGTGAGTCAATAGGGCAAATATTAATAACACTAATAATATTACAATATATACACGGTAACATTATCGAAAACGTAATGCCGTAGTGCTAGAAGACTGTTTGAGAGCTTATGGGTTCAATTACCGTAAGACACCCATATTTATACCTACGGTTTTCTGTATGTTGCGGTGATCTGTCGGTGTAAAGTCTGCCAGTGTAAAGTTCTGTCGGTGTAAAGTTCTGTCGGTGTAAAGTCTGCCAGTGTAAAGTTCTGTCGGTGTAAAGTTCTGTCGGTGTAAAGTCTGCCAGTGTAAAGTTCTGTCGGTGTAAAGTTCTGTCGGTGTAAAATCTGTCGGTGTAATCTGGTGACAAAGGTTATGACGCAGTGTTATAATGCAAAATATTCTCTATATATTATGAATTTCCGTGGGAGTAAATTAAAAAGGATAACCAAGAATAACTATCAGCTGCTTCTTGGTTTTACCTGGTCTCTAATAAACAATAGCATGTATAGAGGAAGGTTTCTTTTGGGTAACATTCAATAAAACATTCCATTGCGCTTGGATCACGACCAGAGTACAACATTCTGTAGTTAAGAATACAGACACTGACTCTCGCCTCTAGCTTCATGTATTATGTATTTTCTGCTGTAGTTTTAAATCGTTTAAGACCATAACTGATTGTGGTGTTGGTCAAGTATAAGTTGTTTCAGTCTGGCCTCACCTCCAGTTCACCGGCCAGCCTGACAATAATACAATAGCAATTTTAACTTCATATTTCTCGTTCTTATTGCCATTAACATTAACGAGCTACGACACCCCACGCCACCTTGTACATTAACAGTCGATAATTACTATTTTTTAATGAATTTGTCAAAGTAATCAACGTTTGTTAGTAAGTTAATTGTCATAATTATTGGTTTTATTTTGATGGTCTCATGCTGGGTGATGTCTCTCTCATCTATTTACGAAAGTTTCTCTAATGTAATTAAAAGTCTTCAACCATTTTGAATTATCTCAAGATTAACAACAGCTTATTTCACCTCACCTCACCTCACCTCACAGTAGAGTTAAGGTGTTTAATCTCCTTTGTGTTGACCCTTGTGTTTACCTTCCTCTCGGTGTGTGTGTGTGTGTGTTCAGTGACCCCTAACAGACAGACAGAGAGGCTATCTCCACGTTAAACTCAAACACTGATCTAATCAAACCCAAATAACGTGAATTATATACAACAACTAAGATGCTTATCAATATTCATCCCTCTCGTGTTATCAGTAGCCATTTATAGAACAAAAATAACCTCCTGTGATCATAACTCATTCTCACCCCCACACACCTGCAAGATAACTCACCTGAGACTAATAATACGAAGCTAAAATTAATATTCTCGGAAAATTTAAACAAAAGGTATTATGTGTCGTTTATTTGCTTTGTTTTCATTAGCTTGTTACTTCCCCACGTCGTCTCCTTGAGGATATAAACAGCTTTGTATCCACCAGTGTGTTGAGAAAAAATAATTTGTTTAGTTATCCCTATATTTTAAGGAGTCATATATCCGTTTTCTTAGATATTTATATTTATGGGTTTTTTATAATATGTAAGCATGCCTCTCTCTCTCTCTCTCTCTCTCTCTCTCTCTCTCTCTCTCTCACCTTGAGTCAGAATTGATAAGGGACAAAGTACAACAACTTACCTGTAATTAACAAAGTGAAAATTATACATGACCCGATGACCCAAGGTGATGTAGCAAGTAGCGAGGTGCAGTAAAGGTCAGGTCAGGTCAGGTTAGGTTAGGTTAAGATTTCAAGGTGATTTCAAGGCTAAAAATTGCAATGGCGTAATGTTGCAAATTTACTATTCCTCATAAAACTTAATGTTGAATATCACAGGAGAAATAAATACGTAACGACTGAATGATAAAACTGATAGATGTATTACGTGACGAGGATAACACTTACTTAACATACTATCATGTGTGAGTCACTGTCAGTAGATCACAAGAAACATCAAAGTCTTTTCACAGGATACTGATAAACAACACCTCATAGACCCTTGTGTTTTACCTGTAGTGGTGGTCATTAGTGGGACGCTGTACGTGCTCACCTGAACATAGCAGTATGGTCGACAGTAGCATTACAGTTTATATACCAGTCGTGATGTGGTAAGAGGTTAGGTTAGGTTAGGTTTTGGTTAGAATAGGTTAGGTATTGGTTTGGTTTGGTTTTGGTTAGGTTAGGTTATTATTACGACTCTAGTATATGAATCTTCATTACACCTGAAGATTTGTCAGTTTTACTTCACTAGTTCATTGTTTCCACTTTTAAAGAGAAAACATGTGACCTTACCTTGTTTTCTAAATTTTACTACTATGGAGTGAGGGGGAGGGGAGGTACAGTCCCCTTCACTAGTGCGTTTACAGGGGCTCATCATATAATCATTCAACAAATCATTACATTGAGATGTTTATTATAATATTGTTTTACTTTGCTTCCATAGTCTGTTTACTATTGTGAGTTTCCTTCTGTCGAATGTCAACAAACACAGCGCTGCCACACTGCACACAACCTGAGGAGCCCCTGTAAACGCACCAGTGAAGGGGACTGTACTTTGAGCTTTGGTTGTTTGTGTGTAGGAAACATAATATTTGTTTCATTCATTTATATTTTACTTATGTTTATTAGTTTATTATTTCATTCATCTGTTACTTTATATTTCTTCAGGATTATTTTTTGTTGTATGTAATGAGAGAAGCTCTCTCTCTCTCTCTCTCTCTCTCTCTCTCTCTCTCTCTCTCTCTCTCTCTAAAAACACTTGACATGATGTGTTGTTACGACATGACAGTCTTACCTTGAGTGTCACGGCATGACAGTCTTACCTTGAGTGTCACGGCATGACAGTCTTACCTTGAGTGTCACGGCATGACAGTCTTACCTTGAGTGTCACGGCATGACAGTCTTAATGTTTAGCACGGTGAGACACGCTAAGCACCTCCTTTCTCCTGCCTCACACTTTAATGACCCAAACTCACGTGAGCCAATTAGAGCAATTAATTAATACTCTCACCTGTGCCATTTATGAAGGCAGGTGTTAATGGGTTAAGACATTTATGAACACTTGTAATAGAGCAAGGTTAGGTTAGGTTAGGTTAGATTAGGTTAGGTTAGGTTAGGTTAGGTAAGGTAAACTAGGGTGAATAATCTTCATGTGATCTGTTTATACATGTTTAATTGTGAACTTAAGAAATAAATCACACAATCTCGGCTGTAGTAAGAGTTTTATTTATAATCTATAATTCAATAAATATAATTACAAGATTCAATAACTGTAGTATAATTATAGTCTCTGTACACTACATCCTAGAGTTAACAATGAAGTAATCTGTTTCTATTCAGTATACTAAGATGATAATTTATCGTATAATCATTCAATAATTATCTAAATTGGTAATATTTCCTATAATCCCTTATAGATATATATAGATCAAAGATAATACTCATATAATCCCTATAAGTCGTTCAGTATATAATTATTTCCCTTAAAATACCTATATAAATGTCTAGGATAATTAACCCCCCTTTTAAAACTTTTACTAAATATCTAGAACCATATTTCCCCTATAAATCTCTCCTCGTGCTTCTTTTTCTAGCTCCTGGTGGGCTCGTTCAGGTGAGTACCCAGACACGCCTCACCTGTGTTAAGTACTGTACCATGGGGCTACCTTAACTAAGATTCTTGTTGGCACATTAGGTTAAGTAAATAATGTGAGACTCCTGGGTAAGGCTGAAGTCTCTTGATCTCTTATACGTGAGAGAGAGAGAGAGAGAGAGAGAGTACAAAAAAGTGTAAATCCAAGTACTATTCACATGACAATCAATTGCCACTCACTCACGTATTCCTTAAGTGTCCCTCAAGTGCCACTCAAGTGTTCCTCAAGTGCCACTCAAGTGTCACTATACAAGTTAGTATCAGAATCACTATGGAGTCACTTCTTTCTGTAAATCACATCGCAAATTTCATCTTGTAAAAAATGAATCGATTTACCATTGCTTTTACATCATTCTATCTTGTAAATCATAACACCACATTCTATCATACACTCGTAAATGATAACTCAATTTACCGTTGTTTCAGCTGTAAATTTCGATGATTCTTAAGCAATTTTTTACATTACTTTCGCCTTGTAAACATTGACTCAACCTTCTTGACGCTCTGAACAGGTGGTGTGTGTGTGTGTGTGTGTGTGTGTCCCGTTACCTGAGGAAGCTAGTGTGCGTGGTAAGGGGTGTGTGTGTCCGTGTGTACGTGAGTTCTATTTTATTTATGACTGTTTTATGCGTGTGCTTGTGTACATACATGCCTGTGTACGTGCCTGCGACCACAACTGCAGGAAGTCTACACATTTACACCGTCAGTGGTCGCCCTACATAGCTGTTGTAGAAATCGTCTGCTAGTTTTGGCTGTAGCGGTGGTACTGTAGTCGTCCCTGCTGTGCCTACTGTATCCGTGTTCTCTCCTGCGACTGTTCCTGCTGTAATTTCCATCTGCGTTTTCCCACTGCTGCTGTAATCGTCGCCTTCTGTTGCTGTAATCCTTATGTTGCTGTAATCCCGTCCTGGTTTTCCCGTTGCTGCTGTAATCACCTCCCGCTATTGCTGTAATTGCTGTAATCCCGTCCTGGTCTTCTTACTTCTGCTATAATCACCTCCTGCTGTTGTTACTGCTTCCTGGATTCACACTGCAGCAGAAGACGGAATAACAGTCCATAGTGGTCGACTCCTGTACCGGCTCACCTGTCTGTAAGCAAACAGTAAGTCACAGGCAAGAGTCAGCTGTTACAACCCTGACTAATATGACTCACAGTGACTCATCCTGACATACTAAAATCAAGTAATTACCAGCAATAGTTAGTTTACTTACCCAAAAACACTGACTCACACCACAAGCCACCACACTACACTGACTCACACTATACTGACTCACACCACAAGTCACCACACCTACACTGACTCACACAAGCAGAAACATTTCAACAACATCACTTTAAATGACAAATTATCTCTTCCCCCATTTGTCTCGTGTCGAAACTGCCAACACAAACACCGCGTCATGTTGTTGTGTGTGTAGGAGAAGCCCGCCCGAACACCGCAGCAACTGTAGTCATAGATGATTCAATAAATGGTAATAACAGAGGTCAAAACATTCACCTGAGTTATGCATTTCATTCCTAACTACAACTTTCAACATCCACCTCGAGATTGTGATAAATATTTTTGGTAAGTTTATTTACTCAACAATTATTTTGCTTAATAATAAAGTATTGACATTTTTTATACCGCGGTTCATTTTCATATCATCAAAGTTAAACCTTCTACAATGTATATCCCTTGTATATAACCACTGTATATTGATTTGGTGTATCTTTAGTCAATCTCTTCAGCCTGGGACTAACTAAACCCATCTGAAGAAAGAATGAAAAACAAGGTGAATGTCACTGAACGGCTCTACTAATGAGACGTTCAACAGGTGGTGGAGGGAACGTGAGGGCCGTCAGCAAGGTGTTGCTCACAGCACGCGAGGTGGTGGTGGTGGTGGTGTGGTGGTGTGGTGGTGGTGGTAGGTGTTGTGGTGGTGTGGTGGTGATGGTAGGTGTTGTGGTGGTGTGGTGGTGGTGGTGGTAGGTGGGTGTTGTGGTGATAATGGTGGTAGGTGTTGTGGTGCTGGTGATGATTGTGGTAGGTGTTGTGGTGGTGGTGGTTGTCCTGATAAGTGTGGTTGAGCCCTGGTATTAGTAATTGTGGTGGTTGTATTATATGAGTATACTCGTATGTTATTTTTAATAGTAATGATAATAGTTTCATAGTAGTAGTAGTAGCAAAAAAATGGCGGCGAATGTGTGGCTATTGTGGGAGGCTGGAGGCTACGTGGAAAGAAGTAGTAATAGTAGTAGTAGTAGTAGTAGTAGTAGTAGTAGTAATAGTAGTAGTAGTAGTAGTATACCCAAGGCGATAAATTTCAAAAACTGATGCAGTAATTGTCAGAGAACTTGAAAAAAAAGTAGCTATAGTGCAGGAAGTGGACCCCATGAGCTGGTGAACAATGTTACCGATAAGAGCAAAAGACTTTAGCCTTAATAAACAAGGTTTGCCCACCCAATGCGTGTGTGGCTCATACTATGACATCGACCACGCCATGGTGTGTAAGAAAGGGGCCTTCATTTGCATGAGGCATGACAAATTAAGGGATCTGACAGCAAATATGTTGAAGGAATCTGTCCATTGGACGGTGAGAATCTCCATCACAGGACTTCCAACACATACAGTACAACGAAGCCCGTGTGGACGTCAGCGCTCGAGGATTCTGGACACGGAGACAGCCTTCTTTGATGTTAGGATATTCGACCCCATGGCCGCATGTTACCGTAACCTAGCTCTCGAGGCTGCACACAGGAGGAAGGAGAACGACAAGAACAGGGAGTAATCTAAGATATTTCAGAATGTGGATCAAGGCAGCTTCACTCTGGTGTTCACAACCTCTGGTGAGATGAGACCAAGTGCAAGATGTTTCTACGCCAGACTCGCGGAGGTGTTATCTGAACAGAAGCAGCAGCCCAGAAATTACGTTATAGCCTGGTTGAGATGTCGACTGTCCTTCTCTCTACTTTGGTCTGAATTATCTTGCCTCAGGGGAACGAGATCTTCGGCCCCAAAGCAAACAATGGTCGCAGATATTGACTATGAGGCAACAGTCACTGAATGCTGCATAGATCTGTGGTTTAATTAACTCAGCTAGGGTATAACTACTCTTTTATTAGGCTAGTTTAGGTAATGAAATGGTAGTGAAGGTGTGGCTATAAGGGAAGGTTAGTGGTGCTTGTAAAAAAATATGTAGTAGTCGTAGTAGTAGTAGTAATAGTAGTTATTGTAGTAGTAGAAGTTGTTGTCGTAGTTATGATAGTTGTTGCTGTAATAATTGATATTTTTCCTCTAGTTTTGGTAGTAAGAAGTAAATGAAGAGGTAGTAGTTATTATAGTACTGACAGTAATATATGTTGTAACAGTTGTAGTTTCAATAGTAGTAGCTCTTGTTACCATAAGCGTTGTAGCATTACACATAATGATCATAGTAAAGTTAACATCATCAATCAAAGCATGACCTTCACTCACATGCAGACAAACACAGGGGTGAAACCAATAATAACCCGCCTTCGCCCTACAGGTAGTGGGTGGCTGGGTACACCCCCTATGATAGTCTATACAAGTTTCTCTATACAAACCCAAACTACGTCCTCTCTGTGAACTCATTCTCGGGAAGTTCGTATGGTTAAATATCTTCCCCTAAGTAACGACATCAGATCGCATCCAACAGCCTACCTCAGTTACCTTACAGTGAAAACATCAACAAGAAATTTCACCTGATACTCCCAATCCTGTTTTCTTATCTCAGGAGAAAATAGGAATCACGCTAACCTAACCTAATCTAACCAAACCTAACATAACCTAACCTACCCTAACTTAACCAGGTAGCGTTAAGGTGTTTAATAATCAAGTGAAATAAATTGTGGGGTACTAATGTTCAGGTGATCCCGGTAACAAACGAGCATCGAAAACTTCAGTGAGAAATCTATACTTTATTACTGCTCCGTATAGTGAGGATAAATAGTCCCAATGCAATTTTAACGTCATTTTGGTTAATATATACGCGTCCCATCTTCAGTGAGTCAGGTGAGTTGTTACCTGCCTTGAAAGAATGGAAAAGTTTAATCTACGATACTCTTGAGAAAGTTGACTCAAGGTTGTGGTATGGTCGTTGTGAAGTAGGCGGAGTCACGGCCTGAGATAGTGGACACGGTCACGCTATTGCTGCAAGGAGTGAGTGTGTTGTCCTTGTGTTGCTCTCTCCTAGATACATGGTCCTCTCTCTCTCTCTCTCTCTCTCTCTCTCTCTCTAAAACCTAACTCTGATGAATTCAACAGTTTACATATCCGTTGATTCTATAGGACAAGCCCATTCATACACAGACACGCAACCACAACCTGCGATAATGGACGAGTTGTCGGGTCTGAGTAAACACAAGAAATACACTCTGCCACGTTCGTAGAGTGATACAGTATATATAATGTGTAATGAAAGTTTCAAGTCCTGCTATAATAGTCGAGATAAGTGTATTTCTCTAGAAACAGGGCCTCCATTTGCAATGACGTCACCAGTTTCCCTGCAGAGGACGCTCTCCAACAAACTCACAGCTGCAGTCAGAGGTAGAACAAAGGATGGCCTCTTCAGACCCCAAATGCCACGTTCAGATAAGTTTTAAGGGTGTTTTTTTTACGGTCTAAGTCATGGACATTTCATAAGTGAAGAAATGTGCCGTGAAGAGCTGCTTATGGACATTAAAAAACTACAATATTCACACCAGTTCAGCCAACCTCAACACAATCTTCATCTCACACACGCCACAACACTACAACACACTCTACAACACTACCACACACTCTACAACACTACCACACACTCTACAACACTACCACACACTCTACAACACTACCACACACACAATTAAACTAATCTTCCCAGAGTCAGTAAAAGAAGTTCCCATCAGATACAATCATTCAATTTCGTTCAGTCAAGAGCATCATTCTGGCTGCTGTTTCCGTAGTCACTTTAACAGTATCTAAAACAACAACAATTACAATAAAAACAGTGATAACAAAAACAACAGTGACATCAACACGAACAATAACAAGTAACAATAACAGTGACACCTTAATCAACAGTAACAATAGTGACAACAACAATCATCTGCGTAAGAACAACAAAGGAACAAGAAGATCCTCGGCTGGAATCCACGAAATAAGAAAATACCCAGAACAAAATAGGTGTGAAATAGGGAGTTTTAGAGCAGCTTAACGTACAGGAGAGTCTCAAAACAGGTAAATGGATGAAATAGGGAGACCCGGAGACAAGGGAGAGAGAGAGAGATAGAAAGAACCAGGATAATAGACCAATAGAGTGGATAACGAGAGAGTAAAAGGGCGAGAGTGTGTGTGTATGAGTGTGAGATGAGATCCAGACAGTATAGTAAGGTACAAGGATGGTCTTGGGTCTCATGTCAATCATTATTCTCAGGTCATATTAACGTGACCTCTAAAAATCACCATAAATACAAGGTTACAACTCATTTTATGTACCAATATAGAGCTTCGAGTCGCAGTGCGGTGGCTCAATTGACCTCTGACCTTCTCCTAAAATGGTAAATAATAGCTTTTATGGTGCAGTGTCGTTACCCCGTCGGGAGGTAAGACCTGGATGATATTTGTAATGTGGTCGTATTTTTTTAAGTTTTTGTGTACGACGCCTTAACCCATGGATATGACGTCTAAACTTATTAGTATGACGCATTAACCCTTGAGTATGAAAACCTTGATTCTTAAGTACGACGCCTTTAACCCTTTATATAAAATGACCCTTGATTGTGACGTCTTAACCCTTTGGATATGACGGCCCTTGAGGAAGAAGAATTAGACCAGTGTAAAGTAATTCTTAACCACTTGAGTACATGTCTATTAATCCCTTGAGTACAATGATTTAGTCCATTTATTACTATGTTTTAACCTATTGAATACGGTGACATTGGACTCAGAGGATTTAATTATGGTACTCAAGGGGTTAAGGGAATGGATAAGAGGTTTAACGTTGGCTAGATCGATATATAATTTGGCTTGGGTGCCGAGGAGTCGTTTATTGTATCTGAGTTAGCATTACGGTAATTGTTTCACATCCTCTACAGTGAAAATAGATCCCACAAGCCTGGCCTCCCGTCACGGCCAGTGTGAATACAAAATAGTGAATAACAAGATTTCAAAGCACAGGGAGTTAGTTTAGGCCAGCCTTCACTTCCCCAACATTAAACTTACGAATGCATCCACAGTTGGGTTGACTCAAGGTACCCTACGCGCAAATTAGTTACCCCAGAACAGCAGACCAACGCACCCCTACGCCACCATAAATGACACCTTTACAAACGTACACTACAACTATAGCTGTGCCATGAATAGCTTTGGTGGAATTGAAATATTCATGCAGCTAGGTGTTAGTGATAGTGAGGTTGTGTGCAGCACTGAGGAATAGGCCGTTGGGATAACACTTGCCTAGTCCATTCCTCCCTATGGTTCCTGGCCAAATGTTAGCCTCTCTGCCAACTCCGGCATTGAAGTCACCAAGGAGCACAACCTTGTCTTCACTGGGGATAGAGGTTAGCACTCTGTCGAGGTCGGCATAAAAGGCCTCCTTGATGTCATCCTCTGCATCCAGGGTTGGGACGTATGTACTGATGAAGAAGGCATGACGTGAGTGATTCAGTAGGACTCGGAGTATCATGAGGCGCTCGTTGACCCCAATAAGCGTTAGACACACACACACACACACACACACACATACACACACACACACACACACACACACAAGGGCACCAAAAACAGTATTATGTGATAATTGTGAGGTGTGTCTGCTAATCTCAGATGTTAGCGATGCCCATACCATGACAACCCCACGCCCATATCATGACAACCCACGCCCATACCATGACAAACCCACGCCCATACCATGACAAACCCACGCCCATATCGCGACAACCCACGCCCATACCATGACAAACCCACGCCCATATCATGACAACCCACGCCCATACCATGACAAACCCACGCCCATACCATCACAAACCCACGCCCATATCGACAACCCACGCCCATACCATGACAACCCACGCCCATACCTTGACAAACCCACTTCTATACCATGACAACCCACGTCCATACGACAACCCACTCCCATACCATGACAAACCCACGCCCATACCACAAACCCACGCCCATATCGCGGCAAACCCACGCCCATATCGCAACCCCACGCCCATACCATGACAGCCCATGCCCCATGACAACCCACTTCCATACCATGACAACCCACGTCCATACCATGACAACCCACTCCCATACCATGACAAACCCACGCCCATATCGACAACCCACCCCATACCTTGACAAACCCACGCCCACCATGACAACCCACGTCCATACCGCGACAACCCACTCCCATACCATGACAAACCCACGCCCATACCGCGACAAACCCACGCCCAAACCCACGCCCATATCGCGAAACCCACTTCTATACCATGACAACCCACGCCCATACCATGACAAACCCACTTCCATACCATGACAACCCCTCATACCATGACAAACCCACGCCCATATCATGACAACCCCACTTCTATACCATGACAACCCACGTCCCTACATGACAACCCACTCCCATACCATGACAAACCCACGCCCATACCATGACAAACCCACGCCCATATCATGACAAACCCACGCCCATATCACAACCCACGCCCATACCATGACAGCCCATGCCCATACCCTGACAACCCACTTCCATACCATGACAACCCACGTCCATACCATGACAACCCACTCCCATACCATGACAAACCCACGCCCATACCATGACAAACCCACGCCCATATCATGACAAACCCACGCCCATATCGCGACAACCCCTCCCATACCATGACAAACCCACTTCCATACCATGACAACCCACGTCCATACCGCGACAACCCAACAACCCACTCCCATACCATGACAAACCCACGCCCATATCGCCAAACACGCCCGCGACAACCCACGCCCATACCATGACAGCCCATGCCCATACCATGACAACCCACTTCCATACCATGACAACCCACGTCCATACCATGACAACCCACTCCCATACCGGACAAACCCACGCCCATACCGCGCAAACCCGCCCATAAAACCCACGCCCATATCGCGACAACCCACGCCCATACCTTGACAACCCACGCCCATACCATGAAAAACAATTATCACACCATCATCAAAAGCCACGCCCATGCTGCGAAAAAGCCACGCCCACATCATAAAAGCCACGCCCCACTTACGATGATTGAATCAACTAATTGCTTGATGAACCATCGATTTTATATTCACTAATTCGTAGATAACGGGAGGGTAGGTGAAGGGGTGGAGGGTAGGTGAAGGGGTGGAGGGGTGGTAGGTGGAGGGTGGTAGGTGAAGGGTGGAGGGGGAGGGTGAAGGGGTGGAGGGGGTAGGTGAAGGGATGGTGGGATGGAGTAGGTGAAGGGTGTGGGGGGTAGGTGATGGGGTGGAGGGTGGTAGGGTGGAGGTGGAGGTGAAGGGGTGGAGGGTGGTAGGTGAGGCTGGAGGGTGAGGGTGAAGGGTGTGGGGGTAGGTGATGGGGTGGAGGGTAGGTGAGGGGTGGAGGGTGGTAGGTGAAGGGGTGGAGGGTGTAGGTGAAGGGGTGGAAGGGTGGTGGTGAAGGGTGTAGGGGGTAGGGATGGGGTTGGAGGGGGGTAGGTGAAGGGGTGGAGGGTGGTAGGTGAAGGGGTGGAAGGGTGGTAGGTGAAGGGGTGTAGGGGGGTAGGTAAAAGTTACACACACACACACACTCACATACAGACAGACATACATACATACATACATAAACAATTAGGTCAAACCACATTCATCAATATTAGTAGTGTGAGATTGTAAACTCTCTCTCTCTCTCTCTCTCTCTCTCTCTCTCTCTCTCTCATTCATTAAGTGCCCCCTTCCTCTTCCAATTCTCTCTCTTCTTTTCCACTTCCTTCCCTCTCTCCTTCACCCCTCCTCCGGGTTAGGTTGCGTTGTTCCCCTTCCCTTCTCTAGCCCTCTTCTCCTTCCCTCTCCTCTTCCCCTTCCTTCTCTCATCCCTTTCTTCGTCCTTTCCTCCTCCTTCCCTCTCCTCAACCCCCTTCCATCTTTCCTTCACCCCTTCCCAAATGTCCCAAGTAGCGTAGTCCACCTCACCTTCTCCTCTCTTTCCCCATTCCTCCTGTCCCCTCTCTCCCTCACCCCTCCCTCTCCACTTCACTGCCTCGCTCCCCTCTTTCCCTCACCCCTCTCTCCCTCACCCCTCCCTCTCCACCTCGCCCTCTCCCCTCCACCACTCAAACAGATTAGAATGAGTGACCACACTAGAGACAATTCAGGCTGACTCTATTAAGTTCAGTCCAGGTGGATACGTTTAGTGAAGTGCCGTCCAACTGGGTGTAGATCTGGGAGGGTGTACGAGGGTAGGTGTAGGAGGGTGTATCTGGGTGTAACCTAACGCCAGACGATTTTATTCAGCACAGAGAGGAGCCTATACACAAGGGGTTAACACTGGTCTGAAGTGATAAGCCCAGAAGGCAAATATGTTACTAGAACACGACCATGGGAGTATAGACCAGGGAAGTCCTAGTCCACACGGTCCCAACCTTAGCCCTACTGGTGCTCTCCTTTGATTTCTTTTTTTTTTTGGTATGGTGTTGGAAATCCTATATTGGAGATCAAGTAATTATATTGGCAGTGCCCCTTGTCTGTTGTGCTTGCGTAATATTTAAATAAGAGTAGCTGAATTAATTTCCATGTGTCAACTTTACATAGTTCACTGTGGATCATGATGAGTAGTGTTAGTACTATCGAAGTATCATTCACTGTAATATATCACATTTAACTTGACATCTTTACTTGCATCTCTGCAGTTAATATTGTTTCTGAATACATGATCCCCAGCTTAACCACGCTACCAACTTTCTATCTTTACAACCAGTCCCACTATGTTTCCCTTACTCTCCCTCTTGTGTACGGTATTATAAGGAATTACCTACAGCACAATGCGATAGGGGAGAAATTGTACACCGTATCGTTAACAAACAGAATTATAGCCCCTTAACTAATGATGCGAGAACCTACCTAGCTCTCTTACTGAAACAATTACACAAATCGTTGCCAAAACGGTGTCAGAAGCTTCTATTGTCATTAGATGAGTGTTCTGACCAATTATAAAAGAGAATTATATTTGTGCTCGTACTGTAAGAAACGTTACTTTAGACTTATTGTTTTCGTTGATCCGCTGTTTTCCTTCTCCTCAGTACACTTGACTGAGTGTTAGTGTTGGCAGCCACTCCCTGATACTCATAGTTACCTGTGTTGAGGGCTTGTGTCCAGGGGAGCCCCGTCCCCAGGGGGCCACTTCCTTTTGGAGGTTTCTGGGGAACTTAGAGGAAGGTCGCGGCAGCCCCCCATTCTCCCTGCGTGTCTGCGGGTCCTCCACTGTGAGTCCCTCGCTGTCCTGGGAGTCCTGGGATATTGACTTGACCTTGATCACGTCTTGGGAATGGACATGGGTGTAGTGGGTCTTCTCTACCAGCACGGCAGAAATCAGGTCCCCACGAGGGGCAGGGTAAAGAGGTGACTTGTTTTTGGACGCTTCTAGTACAGGTCGCGACACTATCACCTCATCCAAGGAGACGTCGGAAAAGGACTGGGAGTCCCACACCTGTACTGGTGAAGGATGGCCGGCGTAGGGGCTGTGAATGTCCCTGGGGGACACCCTGGGTCTGGTGCCCACAGCATCATCGGTGTCTGTCACGAAGAGATCGACGGGGCGTCGACGAAACTCAGGAGTGTTGGTGCGAGACATGAAGTCCTCCAGTTGGATAGTATCGGAGTAGCGGCGAGGGTCCCTTCTCCCGCGTCTTTTATATTCGACCACTGAGGAGTGGCTGATGGCTGAGCTATGGCTACTGGTCTTGACCACTGGAGAGTGGCTAACTGGAGAGTGGCCGCTGGACTTGACCGCCAGGGAGGGGCTGGGAGAGTTGTTGTGGCTGTCATTTTTGACCGACGGAGAGCGAATAACGCCGGAGTCCTCGCTGGCTGACGTAACTTTCGACGACTGGATAAGAGCGACGTTTTGGGTATCTGGCTTGACACCTGCAGATAACGCAACACTTACGCTATGACTGTCAGACGTGACTATCGAAGACTGACTGACAGTCACGAAATGGTTGTTAGCCTTGCACACCACTGATTGGTTAACGTCACAACAGTTGGATTTGCCAGTTGATGAGAGGCTGACGGGAACACTGTCGACCCTGTTGGTGAAGAGTTCCCTGTGAACGGCACCCGCACGGGCGGCCTTGAGGTGCGCGTCGCCTACGATGAGGTGAGTGTCGGGGAAGACGGTACCATCCGGGGAGGGTCGGGGCTGGCTGCTGCTGCTGGGGCGGTCACTTAGCTCCTGCAGGTACTTGCGGTACATGGCCGGGTGACCCACCTCAGCCGACCACGCCGCCGGCCCACCAACACCACGCCCGCATCACGCCCACGTTCACCAGGTACACACACGCCCGCTCAACGCTGATCGATGTGTCTTAGAGTATATTAAACCAGTCACTGTCTATAATGTCTTATGTCTCGTTGACTCATGGTGCAGATTAGCCATCATCGCTCGCGGTCGGGTCTTTAAAACGCACGTGCTTTTTATACATTGTTCCGCGGCAGTTTATTCAGCAGACGACCGTACATCTAGAAGAAAATTGTAGTGTGTGGGAGGAACACTACCTGATGACACACTCACCACACTGTCTCTCGCTTCCACCGACGTAACTTTACTTGAGCGCTCTGACGCAACACCTGCCAACCTCAAACGAATTGCTCACCCAGTCATAAACTTTCAAGAATAATTAGTACTAGAGTTTGTTGGTTAAATGACAGGAATTCCATTACAGGTACACACACAAGGGTAAAATGTTTGTTTTCCAGCACACGAACGTAGAGCCGAGTGTTCCACCACAAGGCAACACACTGTGGGATATGTACACTGGAACACGAGAAGGCGGTGGTGGTGCTAGACGGTATATACACAACAGATTGAGGTTAACAGGAGAGAGTTGTTGGCGGTGAGTAAATCGGTAGTCAGCAGTGGACGACAGGCAGACAAAACAGTGGTGTTGTAGAGACGGTTCCTTCAGCGGTAGACAGAGGGAGACAGACAGACGAAGAAGAGTTGAGGAGGTGGGCGGCGAGGTGTGGACGGTCCTGAGGTCACTGCCACACTACACGAGGCCTCTCTCTCTGTCTCTCTCTTACTGTGGCCCTGGCTCACCCCCTCCCCACCCCGGTCTACCCCCCCCAGCCCCCCTTCCCCTCCCATTCCCTTCCCCTTCCCTCAGGCCACTAACCCAACTCCCCTCCTTTTCCACTTCCCCTCACCTCTCCATTCAAACCATTTCCACCCCCCCCTTCCCCTTCACACTATCACCATCACCACATACCATCACCGTCCTAACCACACACCACGACTACCACACACACCACCATCACCACCAACACTCCTACTACCCACTACCACGAAACACCATCCCTACCACCACTACCACACAACCACCACTACTACCACACACCCACCACCACCCACAATTAGGCTATCGATCACACACCATGCAGGGGTACACTCTCGCTCATGAGTAGCAATTACGTTGTTCGCTTGTTTAACCACACTACCACACTCACCTACCAAACTACCACACTCACCTACCACACATCCTTACTCTCTTATCACATCTAACACAAGATAAAATTATCTATCTTTAAGTATAAAACTCTCTCTCTCTCTCTCTCTCTCTCTCTCTCTCTCTCTCTCTCTCTCTCTCTCTCTACCCAACCTTAGTATGGACATACCCCGTAAAAAAGAACATAAGAAAATAAGGAGTCTGCAATAGGTCGGTTGGCCTTTGCATGGCAGCTCCTGTCGAGAGTTACTACCACTCTCTATCATCCATGAATCTATCTAGCCTAATTTTGAAACTTTTCAGCGTTCCAGCATTTACTACAAAGCTGCTAAGCTTGTTCCACTCGTCCACCACCCTATTTGTGAACCAGTTCCTTCCTATCTCCCTCCTAAACCTAAACTTATCCAACTTAAATCCGTTGCTACGAGTCCTATCCTGCTCGGATATTATAAGAACTTTATCTATATCCCCTTTATTGATTTCCTTTCACCCACTTAAATACTTCTATCATATCTCCCCGCACACTTCGTCTTTCTAGGGAATGCAATTTTAGTTTCTTTAACCTATCTTGATATGGAAGGTTTCTAAGTCCGGGAATCATTTTCGTCATTCTTCGCTGCACCGACTCCAGTAAATTGATATCCATTCTATAATAAGGGCACCAGAACTGAACCGCATAATCGAGGTGCGGCCTGACTAGCGCAAGATATAGTTGCAATAAGACCTCTGCCCTCTTATTACTTACACTTCTAGATATAAAACCTAATACTCTGCCTTATTTCGAGCATTAACGCACTGTTTTCTAGGCCGTAGGTCCGGGCTTACAAGTACCCCTAAGTCTCTTTCACAAGTCGACTTCTCTAGGTTGATGTTGTTAAGGCTGTATACATTGACAGTATTTGTTCTTCCAATATTAAGTACGCTGCACTTGCTGGTGTTGAATTTCATTTGTCATTTTTCTGACCACTCCTGCAGTTTAATTAAATCCTCCTGTGGTGCATTTGCATCCTGCCTTGAATTAATCTACCGCCCTATTTTGGTGTCATCCGCAAACTTGCTTATGTCACTGCTGATCCCAGTATCTAGATCGTTTATGTAGATTATGAACAAGACTGGGCCTAGTACTGACCCCTAGGGAACCCCACTGGTTACACAGCCCCACTCAGATTTATCATCCTCTGACTCTCTGCGTTCTATCGGTAAGCCATGATTTTATCCAATTTAAAACTTTCCCCTCGATACCATGAGCCTTGACTTTTCTCAGAAGCCTCTGATGCGGTACTCTGTCAAATGCTTTGCTAAAGTCTTTGTAAATAACATCGTAATTTTCGTCATTATCTACTACCTCGAAGACTTTCCTAAAAAACGTCAGCAGATTTGTTAGACAAGATTTTCCCTTTGTAAACCCATGTTGAGAGTCGTAGAGTAATTTGCTTTTCTCTAAATGCGACCGGATGTTATTTACTATAATTAATTCAAGAAATTTCCCCACTACTGACGTCAAACTGATCGGCCAGTAATTTGACACTGATGCTCTGTCTCCCTTTTTGAATATGGGTACTACATTTGCCTGTTTCCACAAGTCTGGCACAACTCCCGTGTCTAATGATTTTGTACATAAATTTACGAGGGGTCCGCTAATCTGTTCCCTACACTCTTTCAAGACTCGAGGGAAAATTTCATCCAGCCCTGGAGATTTGTCTTCTTTAATTTATTTATCCTCTTGAGAACATCCTCTTTTCTGATAGTGATATTCTTTAATTTCTCTTCTTCCTTTCCCCTAAATATCTGTTCCACCTCTGGAATTTCCTGGTGAATTTCTTCTGTGAAAACTGATAAAAAGTAGCTGTTCAATGCTTTGCTTATTTCTTCACTGTCATCGATCACTCCCCCGACTTTAAAGGCCCAACTTTGTCCTTGACCTTTGTTTTATATACGTGGAAAAATCCCTTGGGATTCGCTTTAGATTCTCTTGCTATCCTGATTTCGTAGTCTCTCTTTGCTTTCCTTACATTTTTCTTAACATTCCTAGATAGTTCATTATACCTGTTTCTGAGCTGCTCCTCCCCTCCCTTTAATTTCTTATAAATTCCTTTCTTTATTCCTATTTCATGTTTAAGTTTTCTGGTCATCCACATTGGCTCATTCTTATTTGACCAAATTTTTCTGTATGGTATGTTTTGTTCTTGTGCTTTACGTAGTATACTAGTGAATATATTATAGTCATGATCAATTGTGGTGTCACATGTGACCTCACCCGTTCCTACCGAGGACTAACCTGACTGTTCCCAGGTGACCTCACCTAGGTACCTTCTTAACCCCTGATAATCCGCCAACCGAAAGTTTGGAACTCTGACCAAACTGTCATTGTTTTTCGTTTCCCAATTTAGGGTGAACCTGATTTCTCTGTGATCACTGTTCCCTAGTTCTTCCCCTATTGTGATATCTCTGATAATATTTTCTTTATTTGTTTATACTAGGTCTAATATATTGTCACCTCTAGTAGGTTCTGTAATTAGTTGTTTCAAAAAATTGTCCTGTACTGCGTCTAGGAAGTCTTCAGATTCATAGTCACCTACAATGTTGTCCCAGTCAATATTTCTGAAGTTGAAATCCCCCATAATGCACAGGTTGTTATATTTTGCTGCCCTACTCATTTCCTGCCATATGGGCTGAGCTGCTTCTTTGCCAAGACTTGGGGGCCTGTAAATCATTCCCATAATTAGTTTTTCTCTTCCTTTCGTAATTTCTACCCATACAGACTCGGTTCCTATTTCACCCTTTATTGAATTATTAATACAACATTTTAACGTGTCCCTGGCGAAGAGTGCGACCCCTCCCCCCTTCCTACCTTCCCTGTCCTTGTGAAAAAGGTTGTACCCTTCTATGTGGTACTCTGATAAAAAATTGTCGCCAGGTGTTCATCCAAGTTTCGGTGATTGCTGCTTTTTGCATCTGCATTCTCTCATTTTGCTAACCGCTCTCCTTCAGTCTATTTTATTTCTAACGCTCTACTGTTTGTATGTATACATTTTAAACCTACCCTTCCCTGGTCACTGTTTTACCCCTTGTCCTGAGCAGCAATTTTACTTGGGACCTGCTTGTCTTTGACTTCCCACCCCCGACCTCTCTCTGCTGGCAGAAACTCCTCCTTTGGAGTGACCATTTCACGCTCAGGAGATACGGGCAACGTCTTCCCCCACAGGGAACAAATGTACTCACGTCACGACTGCTTTGAGTGGTCGTTACCATAGAATAGTCGCCAATTATCCAGCAAATGCCTAACCATTGTTTGCACAATATTTTTCCAATCGCTTAATTTACTGTAATCGCCCTGGGCAACCATTCATTAACCCCTCTTCAAGCAAAACACCACATACTGTCAGAATCCCTCTATCTCTGGCCTTCCCCCAGCGCCTCCTATACCTCTTAGTTTCCTCACTCCCTAACCTTTACCTATGTCACGTTTTCCTCACACTAAAACACACTACTGGCAGTACCCTCCCTGACAAAGCCTATCTGTCCTCTCAGCTACATGCCCCTATCCCTTCCCAGGCTTTTACCCTAGTCCTGTTTCCTATCTTTCTTGCTGGTCCATCTAAAAAGCTCACCCTGGCTGTCCCCCTTCTACGACCTTACTGTGGGCAGGGGGTTTGTACAACTGCCGCCTATACTCCTAACTTTCCACACCGTCCTGCCTCTTCTCTTGTCGCCAGCTTCCTCCAACACAGTAGAGTTTTCACTCCACCTGAGTCAGCTTTTCCTGGGTGACCTAGTCGCAAACAACCACTCTCCCGCCTGCTCTCCTTCGCAGAGTGTCCTGCTTCTTGTAGAGACACCACCTACAATGGGAGATTTAGTCCCTAAAGGCTTCGTTCTCCCCCCCTTTAAACATCCGCTCTCACTCTCCTTTCTCCTTTGACCTCAAAGTAGCCAGGGAGGTCGTCTTTCCTCACCTCTCTCCTCTTACTACCCCACAACACCCGCGTCCAAGGCAGCCATTTCACTCTCTGGTCACTAACGCAGGCTTGCTGGGGCGTCGCTTCTCCAAGCTAGGTCAGGTAGAGAGAGAGAGAGAGAGAGAGAGAGAGAGAGACGTAAGAGCAAGTGCAGAAAGATCTGAGTCATACCTGGACGTGTGTGTGTGTGTGTGTGGACAAAGAGACAATTAGCAGGTGAGTAATGATCGCTGCGGCTGTTTGTTTGACTGTTTAGAGAGTCAACTTACCGAACACTTGACACCATAACCTTGGGCCATAAGTGCTGCCCAAACAACCTCGAGTGTTTACCCTCATAAGTGATAATATGTCTCTATAATGATCCTCAGTGACACGTTGGTTACTTTCTAACACGAATCCAGGAAAAAAGTCACGGAAAAAACCTAACCTAACCCAACGATACAAAGATGACGACAAAACAGGTGGGAGAATTCGTACTGTGACTCGACGATAAATGAATGTTATTTCTACAACTCTCTCTCTCTCTCTCTCTCTCTCTCTCTCTCTCTCTCTCTGCTACATAAATAACCTTTAC